TTAAAATAATTGACACTTGGCAACACCGCTGTAGACACGATCAATTTCATTGGTCAACAGACACGCGGTAAATTTAAACTCTTGCTTCTCGAATTTTTTTTTCTACAAATATAAAGTGGTATTGCAACCGATTAGGCTGTACCCCTAACTCGATCAGTCTATAAGCAAACCAGTATCATTTTCAATAGCATGAAACAAGCCCATTTTTTCCACAATGCCAGACGTTTTCTTTGTATTGCTTCTGGCAAGCGGCGCATAACTTCAAGATAATCCTCCTCATTGACAGTACGACCATGTGGCAGTAATCGAAAAAACCAGTGAGCAAAACCTTCACATTTGATCGAACTTGACGTGCTTTTTTTAGTCTTGGCTCTCCTGGGCTCTTCCATTGGGACGATTGGACTTTGGTTTCAATGTCATAACCATATACCCATGATTCGTACCAGTTATTATCCTTTTAAATAAATCTGGATCGCCGTTGGCGTCTTCAAAACTTCCTGAGCTATGCTCATACGACGGTTTTTTTTGTCAAAATTCGGCAATTTCGGAATGAATATCGTTAGTACACACTGCATGCCTAAAATTTTTGAAAAAATTGCATGGCATGTGCCAACCGATATGCCGACATCCTCAGCAACTTCTCTAATAGTGATTGTCAATAACAAGAAATAAAACTTTCAATCTTACAATGGGGAATGTTCCTCCTGACGAAAATCAAGTAGTTTTCATAAAAGAGTTGTAAAACAACGCATTTTTTCTTGAAAAAATTATTTAAATACTTAAAAAAGAGGAATGAAATAATGCATTCAAGAGATACTTCTTCATGAATACCCTGGCAATGATAAAATATTTCACAGAATTCACTACAGAATTCGTGTCAACAAAAACTGCATTACTATTAATGAGGGTCAACACTATCAAGTCAACATTAGATAAAAAATATAGTTTAAAAAAAACACGCTTGTTTTAAGCTTATTTATAAGAAATATATTTCAACTGCGCCATCTGCCCGCGAATAGATCATGCAATAATGTCGATATATCAAGGAGGTTAAGTACAGCGCCATCTGCTAACGAGTAGATCAAGCAATAATGTCGGTGATTCAGTCAAATACAGATCCCGAGCTTGAGTTACAAACAAACATACATAGAGGTGAAGCTAATATAAAGCATGTAAAAAAAATAATCATTTCTTCTTATCTGTCTCTCATTTGTTTCGGAGAAACCTGAACGATAGTTTATTGATAAAACTTAGGAATAAGTACATGAACTTAAATGTCAATATGCAAATTGCCGATAATAAAAATATACTCTGTGATCCTTCTGCTCTTTCTTAATGAAATGGAGAATAGTAAAATTATATTTGTGAAAAAATAGAGGTGAAGTAACAAATGATGATGGTAATAATTTGTTTTGTAGATTGTAAATAGTCAGTTTGACTTAAAAGTAGAAAACACGTGCTTTTTTCTCATTCACAACCAACATCGTGAAGATAATGGGGCGACATTTTCGAAAGAATTTACATAGAATCTAGAAAAATTATAGAAGAGTCAGCTTTTTCAAGAATCCAAGCTCAATCGTAAGAGTTTTGCCAACTGGAACAAATTGATCAGACTAAATATATAATCGATAGTTCCTTGAAACAGATTCTTGGGTTAGTTTTCTTTTCGAAAAGTCAATATAACGCAATAAATCCCTTCATAGATTCAAAATTAAAGGCATCAAAACTCTCTCTGATAAATTTCATTCGGACTAATATATTGTATTCGTATTTTTTTATTGCATATTATATTTGTTAATCTTTAAAAATTGCTAAAACGATTAGACACTTTTGTGATTGATCAGTTCATTTCTGTGATTTTCTTATACTCATTTTTATATTAACATTTGTTGTATTGTATATCTTAAATTTCTTTTTGTGCATTATACTGATGATTTAATTTGTATTTTTGATTTCTGTTTGTCTTTGTATAACCTATTGTGTGTGTCTAGTAATAATCTTTGGCCATAATTGCTATTTAATGAAACTTCTAAAGCACCCATCGAAAAGTATGCACTGTATAAAAAGCTCTTCAATTATTGATTTCTTGAAAAAAGTTATTGTGTTGTCTACAACCCAAAATACAATAGTCAGTTTTCATATGCAGGAAAAGTTAATAAATGTAAATTTTAGATAAAGTATTATAATATCGAAAATTTCAACTATGAAATGTTATTGAATGTAAACTATACTATATAATACACTAATATTTTTGAAGTTATACTTCTGACGCGTTAGGGAAAAATGATGAGAGTAAATTTTTACGTTGCGCGCCCGCACCGTCACAAAAAACCGACACCCTGAAGTAAGCTTCTTCTTCTTTAATTTATATGACCGTAGCTTCTCAGTCGAGGCATTTGGCCAGACTTCTCCTGTTCATAGTGAACAGAAGCTCCGTCCGGGGGCGCAGCTGTCTTATTCGAGGCAATGCTGCCAACCTTAGTTTTCTCATTCACTTTTTCTTTTATAAAAACGCTTAATTTTTTACTAGGGGGCAGTCCTCTTCAGTATGACTTTCACAAATAACACATCTATTATCGTCCTGATCTCGTCGAATCCGTCGACATCCAGCCTGGTTACCGACGTAGGGGGTCGCCATTGCTCTCAATATTTGGAATATATGAATAAACTTAAATGAATAATCAAATGAATCAGAGCGAAAAATAATTTTTAAAGAACGATTTGAATTTTTCAGTTTTCGAGATGCCTTCAAATAATGCACAGAAATGTAAAAATAATCGCAATCGGAAAAAACAAATAGCTCAAGGAAGTAAATTATCTGCGAATGCAGTTTTGTAAACGATGAGAGTAAATGTTTACGATGCGCGCTCACACCCTGAAGTTAGTTTCTTCTTCTTTAATTTATATGGCCGTTGCTTGTCAGTCGGGCGCATTTGGCCAGAGAAGGTGCACAAAATGTCATATGTCACAGAATGTCTCGTAACTCGGAACATAAGTAAACGGAACAGCACGCCTCTGAAATATGTCATCTTTGTTTGTATCATGCAGGTAACAGATTCTTTGTCCTTTATTAACTATAACCGATGTTGCCAAATGGTGAAATAGAAACGAATCCCTTTGAATGTTGTATGCATTATTTCATTCCTCTTTTTTAAGTATTTAAATAATTTTTTTGAAGAAAAAGGTTGAAATGATAAGTTTAAAATGCGTTGTTTTAGAGCTCTTTTATGAAAACTACTTGATATTTAGATATTTTTGTGACACTTAATACACATCTTTTATACATCAAAAAATATTTTCTTGTCAGTGGCGTATGTGTGGAAGTAGCACTGAATCATTTTAGAGAAAAAAGTTGTGTGACACTGCTTTTTTTATTACATCCACAAAAAAGATAATTTATGTTACAAGCAAATAATAATTCTGAATACATTTTGAAATGCTAACACCAAATTACTTTGAAAGCACAAAAAAATAATCTAATTGAGATGTCCACCTCCTGCAAATATGCATGCCTTAAAAATGGGAGTCCGGGGACTTACCTTTCCAAATTACCTAAAAAAATTGATCATTTTCATCCTGTGTCTAAGAGAGATGTACAATAAAATAAAATAATAATTAAAATATCCATTGAATATACTATCATCATATGTAATTTTTTGTAATGTATAATATCCACATCTTATAGACAAAGTGAATATTACAATGAAAATATATGTTTAAATTGGGAAATGTTTGAAATACAAATACAAATTTAAAGAAACAAACACAAAAATAACTAACAAATGAAATATACTAGGTCAGAATGTAAGATGAAAATTCAAAAGTGCTCTTCAAATTTATCAGAGTAAAACTGTTATGCAATTTGATAGTAAAACGAAAGTAGGTTTAGATAATTTATTATTGTTGACACTGCGAGTGTGATAGCAGGAAGGGAAAGTATTGTATTTTTCAGTGTTTCCTGATGATGTAAAGGGATGAGGGATATAAATAGAGGTTTACAAGAATCACGAAGTTTTGCATTAGACAAGTATCTAATCACCCGTTTGTTAAGTATTAATGCGCTCTAACAGGTTTTTACTGCTTGCTCTGCCGTACACCACACCTCAAATGTTTACTGATTCGTTAATTATTTATTTCTTTGTAAAATAATTAACAAATCCACACATATGTACTGTAACAAAAATCTATAACTATCAGCTAGATGTAAGGAAAACATATTTATAAAATAAGACAATCAATTAAACTCTTTACAAAGCCTTTCTAAATGATTCTTAGGGAAGAATTAAAAAGTTCTAAATCTACATTGTGTGTTTGCAAGTCTCAAGATTCTACCTATAGACTCATTATGACTATAGTTGGTATGATAAAAGGGTACTTTGAAGATTTCTGTGTTTCTTGTTCTCTTTGGATTCACATTTCAAGTTATAAGTTCAACAAGTTTCCAAAAATTAATTCTACCATTGATTATTTGGTGAAAATATGTAAGATTTGATTCTAATCTTCTTTGTCTTCAAATTAATAGTATTCAGAGTGATTCCTTAATTTTCAATTATATTTGTTGTTTCCAGTTCTGATTGCCTGATTTTATATGGACGATTAATGGGATTTTTGTTTCAGGAAACAGTAAATTCATGACATTTATCTATATTCAATTGCAATGAGTTTATATCACATCAGCGTACAACGTTAGATCAATCTTACTATAATAATTCTGTATCTGATGAGTCATGAATAGCTTTAAACATTTTCAGATCATCAGATTTAGCTACGGGTAGTCCCAGTATCTATGATCTACACATCCATGTATAGAGTTACTCATTTTGAAATTGATTACTTCCTTTCTTTCCATGGAAGATTCCCTCATCCTTGTTTTTTTTGTATCAAGATGGAGTAGTAACGTTCTTTCCCAAAAAGTAACTTGTATATTTCAATTTATTGATTAATTAATCTCCACTTTGATCACATAACGGTAAATATTAGTATTGTAATTATTATTTCAGACAAAATGAGAATAAGCAGAAGAAAATCCGACATAGATACCGCAAAAAAACGTGTATCTGGAGAAGACACATATCCTCCTCACCACCAGAAAATATCGAGGAGAAACAGCGACCAAAGTGTCAAGAGTGACTCAAGTCGTCTGTCAAATATTTCTGATAAAATCAGTCGAGTTGACATATCCGAGAATATGGAAATATCTCTAGGAAATGACGACATTGGTTGCGTAAGTATTTCTGAGAACATATCTCCTCAGAACGGAGAGTCTTCAAGATCGAGTATCGACTGTAGTGTTGAGAACAAGAGAAAACCAGTTCAGGTTGATATTGATAACGCTGAATTCACCATCTCCCCTCCAAACAGACTCAAAATATCAGATCAGCTCATCAAGCGTTTGGCAGACAAGGACGACAAGATTGAGGGAGTTAAAAAATCTCTTGTGGAAACCAAGTCGCAGACAGATATCCTCATTGAAAAGTTTCAAGCGGTAGTGCAGCATAAGGTTGTGGATTTTAACCAACCCTCTTCATCAAGTACCGCTTGTCAAAATACGAATTCAACAAGTAAACAAAAAGAAGATGGTACAAAGCCGTCTGAAAGTCTTGCAGAAACTGGAAGAAAATCTCCGGATAGATGTGGGAAATTAATAAATGTAAACCCTCCCAAGGAGAGCGAAAGTGAAATGGTTTGTGAAAGCACAAGCGACTCCAAGCCCGATTTGAAAAATGTGAAATCTTCCGAGACGCTAGAAGGTGAGAACAAAATAATAGAGCGAGATTATTCAGAGAAAAGTGCACCTGGTGGTTCGATATCAAGACAAAAATTGATTCAACCGGCAATCACAGAATTCACATATCTTGTTTCAGCTGTAGAGCCGACAGATAAATCCAACAAAAACATTGATAAATCGCCAGAGAAGAAAATTGTTGAGGCAGAAGACGTTTCTTCTGAAATGGTTGATATTGTAGACGAATTTGAACAAGAAGCAGGGGCTTTAGACCCTGTGCGGATTGATAAGAAGAAAATATTCAACATAATTCATTCTTCATTGAATCAGATGAAAACCTCGCAAGCCGAGGGTAGTTGTGCTAAGAGTATAGACTCTCCAGTGAAGGATTCAACGACTGCGGAGAAACTACCTGAAAAAAATGTGAAGTCGATCGGGAATATATCAGGATCCCCCGTGAAGCCCGCGTCAAAATCCGTCGTTGAAAGTCAAATTTCTAAAGTGAATTCGCCTTCCAATGAGGCAAATAACTCGAAAAATGAGAGCGTCACTCAGACTCGAATTCAGAGAAATGATGGGAAAGCCTTTCTCACTAAGGAAGCTCGAGCCCGACCCAAAACCACTGCAAAGAAACGAAAGGGTAGCTCCGACGATATCTCGCCTCCCAATCCCAAAGTTGTGAAATTAATTCCAATTGAAAATATCATGAGCAAAGACCTCAAAGAAAAGGTCCATTCCGAAGTGCCCTCACCTCCGAAGAATAACCAAGAAAAGATAGTCATTCGAAAACTCCCAGTCACCAGCGAAAGTTCTTCCTCTAACATCTCTAATTTCACCATAACCAGCGTTAGTTCTGTCCACGAAGTTAGTCAGGAGGAGATCAAAAGCGAACCGGAAAGTGACGACAATTTCAGCGAGTCGGAAAATTTGGAGGCGAAACGGAAGTATTTATCCGCGCTAAATATTTCTGAAAAGCCTTCCGAGACTGAAAAAAGCAAGACCAACGAGATCCGAACTCGGGCCAAAGCGGAAGAGAAACGGGAAAAATACAAAATCGTCGATAATCTGACGAGAATTATAGACGACGTCGCCTTGAATTACAGCGCAGAACGCGAAAGAGAAAAATTGACAGCGAAAAAACCGGAGAGAGGTGCCCCCGTACAGGAGGGCGAAATATTCGTCAAGTCTTTTGCCAAGCTGCAGGGTCCGCAAGACGCTGGTGGAAAACAGAGAGCGAGAAAGTCGTTCCCCACGCCAGGTTACACCAATGTTGTCGATAAACCGAAAACGATCCCGTCTAAGAAAGACCACTCGCTTAGCACATACAGAAAAGACACTCCCAGAGCTAACGTAACAAAGAAGGACGCCTCTAAACCGGCGGGAAACGCTTCCAGCGCTCAAACGTGCCAGACTCCTGTCAGAACACATCTAGTTGTCGGTTCCGCGAAACCACCGGAATCGGTTGCTGGTTCAAAGGCCCTCAGCAACGTCATCATCTCAGACTGTAGGACGGTCACAACGACAAGTGTCCCTGCAAGTCAGACTACTGTTAGTGTCGTACAATCGAAGCCTGCAGACACCTTCACAAGCGCCCCGATGCACTATTTCTTGTTGCCCACTACTGGAGGGAACTATTGCCTTCCTCTTGGCAGTACATCTATGAGTTCGGTGAGTATCGTATACGATAGGAAAAAGTTTCAAAGTTTTAATATTTTTTTCTCACTCAAGCTGGCGACATCGGAAAAATCATCTTTACTTTTGAAGGTATTGACTGGTGACTAACATGTAGATGCTTTGTAACTGAAATTTAGTGTGCTATTTTAGTTCTTATTAGATCCCCATCCCAATGGGTCTAGATCCTTCTGGTCATTAGCTAAAGCTGTTAATCAGAACTTTACGAAATCCACAATTCCACCACTAACACAAGCGGATGGTTCAGCCATTGAAAAAGCAAATCTACGATACTATAACAATTTTCAATTGAAGGTTATTCATTAGCAATGTCGCACTTACCAACTCTGCAGAGGCCCATCCCGTTCAATCTCCACATTTTCTCTTCTTCCTTGATCACATGGGCTACAGCATTAGCCCAATCTTCTTTCCGTATCCGTTTCATTGCAAGTTCTAATAAACGTTGGACATCAGAAATTTTATATGTCACGTTTTCACGAGCTTTGTAACCCTTAATTTGAGCTCAGATCAATTCTATTCGGTTTAACTCGCAATGGTAAGGAGGAAGTCTCAAAATGGTGATTCCTTCAGCACGAGCTATTGTATCCACCACATGCTGGCGATATCTGTCACGATACTGTTTAATGACACTCATAAGCTCGGCCTTAACCATGTCCTCGGAAAATGGAATTCCTTTTTTGTCCTAACTAACTCTGTATGTCTGCTTTTCTGGTGGTCATAGTTAGCAGCTGTTCTACTAATCGACTGTGATAAGAAGCGTTATCCATTACTATTACCTAATTTGGCTCGACTCACGAAAGAAAGGATTCCATCCTTCAAAGCGTTGGGCGTCCATGTCTTCGTGATAATCCACCGTTTTTTTTGGATAGAAAAATTAGTGCACTATCGTCTAAAACGCCACTCTCGCTACCTATATGGGAGACAATTAGTCGTTGCCCTTTACCCGTTGGTCCGCGTAACCCTGTTGATAAACCGTCCACAAATGCTTGACGATAACTAGTTACAGTAGTATCTTGCCAGATCTTAGATACTGTGTGACCAGCATTCACCCACGTTTCGTCCAGATAATAAATCTTATTGTGAGCAGAACGCATTTCTCTAATAGAGCGAAGATATCTCCGTCGCCATGAGACTATATCTTCTCTTTCTATTGAGACAGATTTACGGGATTGTTTCATATATAAATTTTAAATTTTCTTTTATTATTTTCCTTAACTTCTCTTTGCTCATCCATTAGGGTTGGTGCTTTATTCTCAAAAAAGAAAGAATGAATGGTATAGCATACAAAATTTTCCAGGTACTCGTCCAATTCAATTTTTTTTCTACCACGACAATGTACTTTTGGAGCTTGCACAATCCCAGTCACCTTTTTTTCACGTACAATGCGTTCAATTGTCGACACGGATATTGCCTTTAAAAATGAACACTGGGTTACAGCTTCATCTGTACGGAGTGTATTTTTTAAATTTTCGTACACTCTACAGACAATATGTTTTTATTCTAACAACATTAACTTTCGCTTTCTTTGTACATTACTTGGGCCTGCGACGGCATCCATCTTAATACTATAAAAATAATAAAATTCAATCATATCATTCAGCTATTCGTCAGTTGTTTACTTGCCTCAAAAACTATTTTAAAGTTGATGTATTTTGAAAAAACAATTTGTATATGAGTTACCTTCAATTGAAAATTGTTATACTATAGCTGAACAGTTTGCGTTCCACTCCACAGTCGATTTTCTGGGAAAGACACCACTCACCATTCCCACACTAGAATCCACAATGCCGAATATTACTTTTCGACAGCGTTTAGTCAGGCGAATTTTGAAACAACTCAATATCATCAAAGTGTCTGGCCCTGATGAAGTGCGCGTCATCGTACTTGAAAAGTTCGCTAATGAACTCACACCGGTATTTTGCAGACTTTTCAACCTGTTGGAACCTTCTTGTTGGAAGGTGCCTCGCATTCAGCCTATTCCCAAAAAGGGCAAGAGAAATATTCAACTATAGACCAGTCACCTTGCTATCAGTGATATCAAAAATCATGGAGAAAGTTTCAAACCACCATATCCTCAATTATTTAGAAGGCTTCAACATCTTGAGCGATCATCAATATGGCTTTCGGAAACAAAGATCAACAACCGACCTTCTGTCGTGTGTCACCCATATTTGGAATAACGCAATCGAGAAACATGGAAAATCGAGAGCTATTGAGCTTGATATTTTCAAGGCCTTTGACCGTGTGTGGCATGGGGGTCTGCTGGTCAACGATGCTATGGCTTGTCAGATCATTTTCTTGTATGGCTCTCCAGTTTCCTGAAAGAACGTTCCCTGCATGTGGCCGTCAATGGATATCTATCGAATACTTTCACCATTGACGCTGGTGTTCCCCAGGGATCCATATTGTCTCCAACCTTTTTTTTTATTGTATATCAACGACTTAATGGAAAAAACCAAAAATTCAATATATTGCTTTGCTAACGACAGCACACGTGTTTAGTCATTCCATTTGGGTTCCAGGACATCGGCTTCGGAGGTTGCATATCTTCTTAAAGAGGATCTAGAAGTGATTTCGAATTAGGGTGAAAGTAACCAGGTTCAATTCAATGCCACAAAAACCCAGGCATCGGTTTTCTCCAAGATGAATGTCCCGGAACCGGATTTAATAATGTCAGGTCAGACAGTCCCGCTTTCTGCTTCGATAAGTTTGTTGGTGGGTTAAAAGGGACACCAATATGTCTTGGCACAATCATGTCACTGGAATTGCGAAGGCTGCTTGTCAAAAGCTTGGAACACTGTTCCGAACCAGAAAATTATACACACCTCACCAACTTTTGAAGCTTTATGAAGCTCAGACCAGACCTTTGGGGTATTGTTCTCATGTATGGAGCTTTGCCCCAAGGTTCTCGAAGGCTTATGAACCCTAATAAAATAAGTCAATTATGCATTCATAAGAAATTCAACGTTATATATTAGCCATATTGCCACCCAGTCAGCTGTCTCTCTTGAATGTATGAGACAATGTACTCTTTTTAATGTTACATAACTTCGTATTTTTGTTAAAATAATTGACACTTGGCAACACCGCTGTAGACACGATCAATTCTATTGGTCAACAGACACGCGGTAAATTTAAACTCTTGCTTCTCGAATTTTATTTTTCTACAAATATAAAGTGGTATTGCAACCGATTAGGCTATACCCCTAACTCGATCAGTCTATAAGCAAACCAATATCATTTTCAATAGCATGAAACAAACCCATTTTTTCCACAATGCCAGACGTTTTCTTCGTATTGCTTCTTGCAAGCGGCGCATAACTTCAAGATAATCCTCCTCATTGACAGTACGACCATGTGGCAAGAACTCGTGATGCGCAACGCCACAGTAATCGAAAAAAAACAGTGAGCAAAACCTTCACAATTGATCGAACTTGACTTCCTTATTAGTCTTGGCTCTCCTGGGCTCTTCCATTGGGACGATTGGACTTTGGTTTCAATGTCACAACCATATACCCATGATTCGTACCAGTTATTATCCTTTTAAATAAATCTGGATCGCCGTTGGAGTCTTCAAAAATTCCTGAGCTATGCTCATACGACGGTTTTTTTTGTCAAAATTCGGCAATTTCGGAATGAACTTCGTTAGTACACACTGCATGCTTGAAATTTTTGAAAAAATTGCATGGCATGAGCCAACCGATATGCCGACATCCTCAGCAACTTCTCTAATAGTGATTGTCAATAACAATAAATAAAACTTTCAGTCTTACAATGGGGAATGTTCCTTCTGACGAAAATCAAGTAGTTTTCATAAAACAGCTCTAAAAAAACGCATTTTAAACATTTCAACCTTTTTCTTCAAAAAATTATTTAAATACTTGAAGAAGAGGAATGAAATAATGATTCGTTTCTATTTCACCATTTGGCAACATCGGTTATAGCTAATAAAGGACAATGAATCTGTTACCTGTATGAGACAAATAAAGATGACATATTTCAGAGGCGTGCTGTTCTGTTTACTTATGTTCCGAGTTCCGAGACATTCT